CCCCAAAACCCCAAAACCCCGTCAATCTACTTGATTTAAGTATAATGAATTAAAGTATAATAAATATAAATAAACATTTAAAGATGTAGAGTTAAAAAAGAGATTAATAGGCGCAATTGCTAAAGTCTTATAGGTACATTTACCTCAGACTTAAAGACCTCTATCGAGAAGGATCATATGTCTAATTGGTATTTTCATATTAATTTTATCCTTGAAATTAAACCTCCGCTTTAGGAACAATTTTTGAGATAGGGTGATATTTTGCAGAGACTGTCTTAAGGACTCCTTAACTTTAAGGCACCTCTTTAGGGAGAGGCCTCTAATAGGAAAAAAGTAGAGGATACTGCTAATCCACTCAAGTGGGGTGGAGTCTTACCACTTTCCCCTTTGCTTTGCAAGACTTTAGTACTTAGATTTTCATCTAGCTTGAACCTCGATGAACTGCTATCATTTGATTTGCTTGATTCTTATTTCTTGACAAATGATCAGTCCAAAAAGCAGTTCTCCTATATTAACCAGGTAGAGTAGAACATCAACAGTCTCAGTTAGGAATTGCAGAGAACTTAGCAGCAGAATCAAAATAATCTGCAACTGTATTAGTAGACTACAATGACATTCAATAAAATGATTGAGAAGTGGTCCTAGGAATTCCAAACCACAACTGCTTAGATTCTCGATGACTCAATGCAAGTCTATTTTGAGGAGAGGAAGAGTTTATTTGATTCAGTATCAATCGTGTTAGAATTTAAAATGAGGTATCCATAGACTAAAGTAGTTGAGACCTTTACTCAGCAAGACCTTCCTGAAAATCTAATCAAGAGTCTAGAGCAAAACGCGAAGTCGTTCAATGTTTGGACTAAATTTAAAGATCAAAAGGACATCGCCATCAAGCTTTAAAGAGAAGAAATATAGATTCTATAGTGCCATCTCCAGTATTATAAGAATCATTAATAACCCACTGCTGTTTAAATTCAGAGATTAATGAAATATCTGATCTCTAAGGACTTCACAGGTCTCATCTACAAAGAGAAATCCTTTGCATTCCAATATATTTAGGATTAGGATCTCATACAACAAAGAATTATTATTTAGTCACTCTCACTCCTAAATGGAGTTAACTTACTACAGCCTTCCCTATTCGTTGAACTAGAGCTAAACAACAGAGAAAACATGAAGAGATTCGTAACTCAGCTTCTATCATAAGCAGATCAATTTAGAGCAGTAGCAGAGATGTTCCAGAGTATGGAGATTAATGAGATTACTGCTTGTATCTATATTGTGTTCAGATAAATCATAAATTTGCTGAAACTTGAAAAGATTCAAAGGGATTTGGGGTTGACCCCAGATAAGATTCAACTTGTAGTTAATACTTAAGTTGACAGGTCCATAGAGGAAGCTTATGACGACTCAGTGAGCTCAACTAGTTCAGCTTTTATTGAGAAAGTAATTATGATAAATAGAATGCAAAAGCTAAATTTCAGTCTATTTCATGACAAAAAGGGAGACATAAATCATATTATCTAGAATTGGCTGAATATGGTCTATCCCTACTTAGTTGAAAGAAATATGAGGCAGAGTCTAATGCAAGCATAGCAATTAGCATTTGAAATATTTAAGGATCCAATCTAACTTGAGAGGATTTGGGGATTAATAGAGAGGACTAATAATTTGATAGGAAAAGATGTGATGGTAGGTCCAGCCAGAAAGACACGATACCACTCTCTCGATATCTTTGAGGAGATTATGCAAGACCCAATTGAAAAGCTTGGGGACTTCTGCCTCATTATGTCGAATTTATGCGGGAATAAGTATCACAAATACGAGTAAAAGGTAATTAACCTCTTGAAGAAGTACAACACGACTCATTTAGAGGATAGAGCTAGATAGAGATATGGCAATAAATCGTTGCTCTAAATTTTACTAACAATCTTTGAGTCAAGGACGACTGTGGTCTAAGACTTATCAACTGAGAATTACAACTCTTACTTGAATCTATGCTACCTTATTGGCAAGATTGTTTCTTAGAACTCAGTAGAATATGAAACTCTGAATGACGAATTCCTGGCAGTTGAATTAGTGGGTAAGTAAGCTGGTATCAAAGGATTAAGAGGAAAGCAAGATCTTAATAATTATCAAATCTCCGAGCCTATCCTTGCAACTATTATCGAAGCAATCTAAAAACTATCGAGGTAACATTTAATTAAAGTTTAATTGAAATATAGTCAGCCGTTTGAAGAGAGTACTTATTCTTTAAGAATGCTAGTGAAAGCTGTTAGCAAGATTTACAAACATCTGAATCTTGAGAGTGAGATTCTGATGCACTTCCAATTCTATGAGATCCAGTCTGACTTGGGTTTCCATTTCATTCATTTCTACAAGACATAGCTAGATGACTTCGAATTCCAAATCGTAAAATTATCACATCTAATCAGTTTAGGGAAGATATAAAAACACAGAGATGGTGCTAAAGTTCATGAACTCAATTTTTGAAAAGCAATTCCCATAGGGTCACTTGCAAGACTACAGAAGAATGGAAATCGGGGGATCGATTCTTGTTAAACTTATAGCTAATGTCTACTATCCTCTAGTTCTGAATTTCTTCCAACTTAATTTCGCTGATGTGAAATACTTGGTAAATATGACCTACAGACTATTGAAGCTTACAAAGACCCTTTTAGATAAATACAGAGACATTAATCCCCACTACAAACTTCCAATCTCACACAGACTACCGCAGTATGATCAGCTCTTGATCTACCTTAATGAAGTATTCAACTTGACTCACATTGAAAACATCATCCAATAAGTCTTGCTGCTCTCAGAGGATGAACTTGAAGGCAAGTCTACCAACATTTAAAACAAGTATTGGATTGAAGTGTTGAGAAAAGGACCAGTCTCAGCAAAGCATTAAAAGCAATTCCAAAAATTAATCAGCATTTCACTTTAGTGCTACAACACACTGCTTGAACTAACCTATATCAACAATCAAACTATGAATCTCCCTGAAGACAGATAAGAGTAAGTAGGCGCAAGAATTTACTCATTGATCAATCTAAACCTTGTAAAGAGTTTGCAGTCATTAATGAGCAGTCCAGGTCAAGGAGCTACTTATTAAGTTGAAAGGAAGAATAATTCTCATTTGAGTTACTCTATTTTTAACATCATTCAGTACTACGTTAGACCTGGATCATTACTGAGCAAAAGCATTAGTCAGATTAATATCTAGGCTACTAAATTTATGCTTAATTGCTGCAATATTTGGGCAACACCTTCCAATAGAGTACCTGTGAATCTGCAATCACTATTGAAGTACACTGGCATTATTCAGCAAGAAATAAAGCAGCAGTATATTTTGAACTTTATCGAAGCTTCAAAGAATATCAGTTCTCCACTTCAAATGCATTACTTAGTCGTCTTTTTAGACCTTATGATTGTCTCTGCATCTTCACAGACCACCTTTGTAGATGATTTATTTAGAGAGGACATATTCAAAAAGAGATTCATTGATTTAGTTGGCAATATTCTGCCAAATTCCAAGCCTAATGAAATTACAGAACTTCTGCAGAAGGACATCATGTCAAAGGTGATCATCCTGCTTGCAGAGTTATCAAATAACAGAATATGTCAGGATGTACTCAAAGAAATCATAGATTAGGACCATCTCAAGAAGATCTTTTAGCTTGTTATCCATAATAGATTCGTACCCGATATTCAAAAGAAAATTGACTTTAACTATAATTCATCTTTATTCGGCGATCCATTCAGAAAACTATTTGTAGATAAACATAACAAACAATACATTAAGGAAAACTATTCTGCTTGCCTAGCTTTAATTACTATTAAGTACTATTTTAGGCTTCTACAGGATGAGTACTCAAGAGATTTAAACAATCAGTATGTAAGAGATGCCATTACTAACTTATTTTCACATCCAACGCTACTCTAGGAGCTCAAGAACTTTAGTGTAAAAGTAGATGAACTTTATCACGAGATAAACTAAGCTAATATCATAATGAATGAAGGAGTAAATCTTAGAGATGAGAGGTCAGCCAAGCATTATGAGCTATTGACCATTCAAAGTCAATTAATAACCTAGCAGCACCAGATATTCATGGAAACAAGCAGAATTAAGTCAGAAGACACCACTGTTAAGATCCTTGATTTAGAATGCTCCTAAATAATAGCCTATGTTAAAAGCCACACTAATCTGAACTACTTGATGCAGTAAAATGTCTTTGAAGCCAATTAATATGCTAGGATAGGCCCTCAGATTGTAATAAATACAGATGAGTTGATTGAGGTAATGAGAACATACTACTACACTGATGAAGAATTTTTAGATGGAATGAGGGTAGTTACTTCTAAGTATAACATGATGATCTCTTATCTAATGTGCTTTAACCAGCTCACTGACACTGTGAAAAGCTTCATTCTTAGTGTTGGCAAAACAAGAACCAGATAGAATTTGAGGAATAAAGACTTTATTATCAAAGATAGAGTCATCAACACCTCCTTATTTGTGTTTGTTGACAATAATGATCCCAAAGACTTGGTCAATAATGATAATGCTGTTAAGGGCTTATAAAATAGACTGGCAAACAAAATGATAATGATTTCAGAAAATCTGATTACTTCAGGAAGTTTCACAAAGATTCAAGCTTAAACTAGATTTAATGAAGAAATGAGTAATAGCATTATATATCCTAGACTAAGCTTAGAAATAAGATAACTAGAAACTGACATTGACTACTTGACTATTGTCCTTGGCGTAATTAATAATCTCTCAACCATTGGAAAGCTTTCAAGTGATAACACAAATCTTCTAAAATCAATGGCCAAGTTCAAGCAGGTCTTACTTTAAATAAGAAAGAACTAAATAGTAAATATCGGCCTCTATGATGGTGGCTAAGCTTAGAAAACAGAGTATGAGTTACAATGCGCCAGACAATACATCAATTTAGTTCTTTAAGTGTTCTCTATAGAAAATCTTTTCCGAGCATCCTAGAGCGTAATTATATAGAGTTCAGAGTAAGACATGGAATACATATACATTTCTTCATCAGTGCTTGAAATAATCAATGAAAAGCAGTGCTTCATTCCAGGTCTGCAAATATTGACTCTAGCACTTAACTTAATTAGCAACGATAAACTCATCTCGTTCTTCAAGAGAACCTAGAATAATCCTCTTAATATAGTTATCTCTCGATTTAATAACGCAGCCACCAGTCTGTTAGAATGCACTAAGATAGTTGAGTTCTTTATGAATTTGATTAAGGTTGATCAAGGAGCTGAGTTAATTAACGATTCTAATATCATCTTGAACAGCAGTATAGGGTCATTCGTATCAAGATTAAAAAATTAGAGTTTATATGTATCGGAAAATGTTGATTAAAAGAGAAACCCGCTTCATGTACTTTGGTGCTTTATTTTACTCTTCATTAGATCATTGAATCAAAAACTTATAAAAGATAACAACTATAAGCGAACTATCTCAGCTTAATTAAGACTGTTTGAGGGAAGAATCCCTGCGATATTTGATGTTGGTTCTATTATCATAAACAAACTAGGGGATAACCAATTTATCAAGAATACTCTATCCCTAGCCTTATTTGAAGAACTAGAACTCATTAGTGCCTGTTTCGAATAGATAATGGAAAACGTTGAAATTTTGGATCAAAACGACTTCAAAATCTTTGAGCAAATAAAGGATAGATATTTCTTCTCAGTGGTTCATCTCTTCACAGTCCAATTCAAGGTTAAGCAAGTCTCAGCAACAGAATAGTACTTTAATGGCATCTATCTTGGCAAGATAAAGGAGAATATGGCACCAGGATCATTGATTGGTAGCAGTTCATAGTTAGGAGACAAAATAAACTTTTCAGGTTTTGACTTGCTAGTCCATACATAGATGATCAAAACATTCCTTAATATGAATTCAGCTATGCTAAATGTTCTGCTCTATGACTAAAAGCTCTAAGATGAAAGGAGTTTTATTAACACTTGGGATAGAAAGAGTCTAGGTGCGCAAAGCAATTATCAGGCTACACCAAGAAAAGGAGGAGACTTTGATAACTTCAGTATAAGTCACTCAAATAAATCATAGTATCCTTACTCTTACCTTGGTATTCACGGGGACAGAGACTTAGAGCAGTTTTAGGGTCTTAACTATTTGTTCTCTAGTCTTTAGAATTATAATTCAGCTCTTAGAGAAATGAATAAACTATTTAGGATGTTTGTTAGCAACGAACAAGCTCTGAAGGAATTCCACTAAAATATGTTTGCTTACTATAATCATGATGAATGGATAAACAACGAAATGATGGGACTGAATTAATACTAAGGCAGTCATACTTTTTAGGACATATTATAGTAATTTGAGTGCTCTATGTAGTCAGGATACATGGTATCCACGCTTTTACTCTAAAAATTAGAGGAGATGTAATATGAAGGAGAAGCTAACTATGGAGGCCAAGTCACTATTCCTCTGAAATCGGTAATAGATAGCGGAACAGACATCAAGAGATTATATGTAGATTTCATAGGCACTGCCAAACTATCAAAGATGGCTTAGCTAACAATGGACAATTTTGGAGGGATGATAAGTGATGTGGTCGAGAAGATTAGTTAATCCCCTTAGCTAGAGCATAATCTATATTGATGAAGTAGAAGATAGGTTCGATAGATTGAACTTAAATTTTAAATCCAGCTTATTAATATCCTTAATTAAATGTCAATTTCATTAATTATTACACCTTCAATTATATTTGACGCAATGGGGTTTTGGGGTTTTGGGG